GGGAGGGGGGAGGGGGGGCCGGGGGGGAGGGGCGCGGGCCGGCACAGGCGCCGGGGGCTGGCCTAGGCCCGGGAGGCACCGCGGGCTCTGCAGGGCCCCGGGCGGGAGGCCCGCGGCCAGAGTTACTGATGCAGGCCCGGGGGGCGGGGCGGAGCGACGCGGGGAACCGAGAGGCGCAGCTGGGACGCCGGAGATACCGAAACAGGAGAGAGGAAGAGAAAAGATAGAGACTGAGAATGGAAGGAGGCAGAGAAATGAACAGAGACAGATGGATAGAAAGAGGAACAGTTGATTGAAACGAAACACCGCCGTGGCAGCTGCCTTGGCACCGGCTGCGACCCTGTCCCCTGGTGGCCGGAAAGGGTCTTCGGCTACAGCTCTGCCCCTGGCCGGGAGCTGCCGGCCTCCCAGGGCGGAACCCGAGAGGTGGGACGGAGATTCTGGGAAACGGAGGGGTGGGGGCGGCGAGCCGCTGGCAGGAACGGGGTGGGGCCTGTAGGCCGGCTCCCTCTTCCCATCTGTTTCCACCCCCCACCCCGTGTTGGCCCAGGAGGTCCTCGACATCTGGGGACCCTTCTCAGTCCCAGTCCCCGTCAGCCAGACCAAGTTAGAATCCAGCCCCCCTGACTCTTAGCTGTGCCGTGACCTTGGGCAAGTCACCCCAGGCCTGGAGATCCCACTAACTCTGTGGTGAAGGGCTTTCCCATGGGACAGCGCATAAGTGGGGGGCAGCAACCCTTTTACAGATGGGGAAGCCCCTCCTCAAAGTCGGGAAGTGACTTGGCCCAGGTCACGCAGCGGGTAGGCTGCAGAGTTGGCCACAACGCTGCTGTGACATGTAGCCTGCGTCCATCCCTGCTGGGGCTGTCTGGTGATGACCCGGGCTCCTTGCCTGAAGACACGGAAAGTGAGACCCACCTCACAGCTCCTGGCCAGAGGCACCCCAGCAGCGGACTGGCTCCCCACCCTGCCTTGTGACATTCTGTTCCCACCTCTTGAAAAAATTCCATTCCTATCTCTCTCTACACCTTTGCAGCACCCCCCACCCCTGCCCAAAACCCGCTCCACTTCTCCATTTTGGTTGATGGAAGGCCCAAAGCTTCATCTTTTCTGACCCTTCTCTTTCCCTCACATCTACATACAAATCTCTCAGCAATTCCTATCCACCCCACCCACAAAATCTCCCAGAATCTAAGGGCCTCGTGGCCCTTGTCACCATTCTGACTTCACCTCCTCCTTCTCCTCTTTTTGCATAACTCCCCACCACCCAGCCTCCCTGTTGTTCCTCTAACTCACCAGACACATTCCTGCCCCGGGGCCTTTGCACTTGCTGCTCCCGCTGCCACTGCGCTGTGTTCTTCTCTCAGATCCTGGGCCCTCCTTCCACCATCTCCCTCTGTTTCAAAGCTCTCTTTCTCTATACAGATGACCTTTGAACAACATGGGTTTGAACTACGTGGATACATTTATACATGGATTTTTTTTTTACAGTATAGTAGTACACCTGTATTTGGCTTCCTTATGATTTTCTTGAAAACATTTTCTTTCCTCTAGCTTTATTGTAAGAATACAGTGTATAATACAGATAACATACAAAATATGTGTTGATTGTGTATGTTACAGGGAAGTCTTCTGGCCAACAGGTTATTAGTGGCTAAATTTTTGAAAAGTCAAAAGTCACACTTGGATTTTTGACTGAATAATGGGTCAGTGCCTCCTAACCCCCCCCCCCCCCGCTTTGGTCAAAGGTCAACTGTACTTCTCTTTGCCTGTTTCTTCTTTTGAAGTACTTTTAAATTTTTAATTAGGGAATACTTATTTCAAACAGGAAAAAAAATAAAACGATCATCCCCACCATCCATATACAATGGATGTGGATATTTTGCCATTTTCATTTTGGATCTTTCTTTTTTTTTTTTTAAAGAAATAAACGAGGGGCGCCTGGGTGGCTTAGTCATTTGGGGGCCGACTTTGGCTCAGGTCATGATCTCACAGCTTGTGGTTTAGAGCCCCGTGTCAGGGTCTATGCTGACAACTCAGAGCCTGGAGCTGCTTCGGATTCTGTGTCTCCCTCTCTCTCTGTACCTCCCCTGCTCTCTCTCTCTCTCTCTCTCTCTCTCTCAAAACACAAATAAACAATAAAATTTTTTTTAAAGAAATAAACGATTACAGGCACAGCTAAAGACCCAACTCCCCATCCCTCCTTTCTTGGGTCCTATTCCGGAGGTTCCCACCTCTCTGAAGCTGATGCCTGTTCCTCCTGTGCCCTTTCCCATCATTTTTTTCACATCAGGATGCATCTGTCAACAATATACCCTATTGTTCAATGTCTTTTGAAAGATACAAACGATTAGGCTCCTACTGTATCATTTTACAATTTGCTGTCTGCATCATTGTTGTTTAGGAGATTTCTCCACACAGATACACAGAGCTGTATTTCATAAACCTTAACTCTTATCTAGCATCCATTGTCAGAAGAAACCACAGTGGACATTTCTACTCAGAGCCAGTATAGTTCTTTCTTCTTTTCCACCCCCCCACAGCCTTGAACCTTCAGTTCTGTCTCCTTGTGCCAGAGTCAGAGTTTATTCGCAGAAGTTTTGTTTCAATTTCTTTTCTATTTTTTGTGCTTCCCATGAGCGACAGCAAGACATACCTTCTACACCTGGCCTCCAGTACAAGAAACCTGTGATATGTATGTAATATAAATATATGTAATGTCACAAAAGTTGCAGGAACCACACTTATTCACTATGCCTCGTACATTGTATTTTCAATTCTACCCTATTTCTGTTTGGAAAAAGTGCTAATTGCAACGCACTACCTTGGTTTCACAGCCCTTAAATGATCATGATCCACAGTTTGAAAAACACTAGAGGGTCACCTGGGTGGCTTAGTTGGTTAAGCTTCCAATTCCTGATTTGGGCTCGGGTCACGATCTCACAGTTTGTGAGTTCGAGCCCCATGTCCGGCTCCGCACCGTCCGCAGGAAGCCTGCGTGGGATTCTGTGTCTCCTTCTCTTTTTGCCTCTCTCTTTCTCTCTGTCTCTCAAAAAGAAATAAATAAACATTTAAAAATTTTTAAGAAAAAACGAAAAGCACTGGGTGTGTCAAAGGGGCATCCCCCGTGCAGGCAGTACTCAGCCGGGAGCAGACAGCTCAGCTGTGCTGTCCCTGCACATGGTCCCAGTTGCCTGGTTTTATTTGTGTACCTATTTCACAACTTCCAGCCCGGCCACACCAACTGACCTTCAGCTCCCGCACGTGGACAGTACCAGCCACCCTCCAGCACGGGTCCCTAGAGAGACAGCACCTCTCTTTTGTCCCAACACCTGGGTCTGACCTGTCCTGGGGTAGATTCTCCAGGTCTGGGGTCCTCGGCAGTCGTAGGCGCTGGGGGCTCGGGGTGCAAGGGGGTGACTCTCCATCACTGGATGGTGTTATGCAAATGGAGGGCACCTCCAGGATCCTCCAGGGCTCAGGGGACAGGCCCTCCGCTCTGCCACCTTGTGGCTGCTGATTCTGCCACTCGGCTGCGGGTACTGAAGGGTCCTGGACACCACCCTCAGCCGGGGACGGCCACGGGGGCTGGGGCAGGAGCTGGGCCATGGGAAGGGCTCCGCCTGCCGGCTCTGGGGCCTTGGATAACCGCACAGTCTCTGGGGGAGAAAAAAGAGAGGTGAAGGGGAGAAGCCTTGCCTCTCACCACCCCCACTGCTCCACAGCCCAGGTGAGGTTCAGAGTAGGGGTGAGAGAGGTCTGGGTGGGAATCCCACCGCTGTCAATGTCCTCTCCTCGTGACCCTGAGCCTCAGTTTCCTCTTCTGGAAACCGGAGAGCCTGACGCCCACCTCCTATGGTGGTTGGGTCATGTCAGACAGCTCTGACTTTGGGCGGGGGAGGCGCCCAGGGCCCAGCACACAGTAAGTGCTCCGTGAACCTGTGCGCGTGCCCCTGAGCTGGGGTTTATTTTGTCTGAGCACTCACCATGGCCAAGCCCTGGGTTTTCTATACACCAGCCAGCCTAGCTCCCCTCCACACACGCCAGGCCTGAGCGGGCCCCACAGGCCCGGGGGCCTAGGTAACGGCTGATCCCGGCTGATGGCGCGGAGGAGACAGAATCCAGGATTTCCCCTCCCTGTTTGCTCAGCAACTGCCCCTCCCAAGACAAACAAAGGGAAGGTGGCCGGCTGTGGCAGGCCAGGTCTCGCACCGCCGCTGTGGCATTTCAGGCCACCTGGGTCTGCGGAGATTAAATCAGTGTCTGTCCACATAGCAGAGCACAGCAAGGGCTGCTTGGTATCCAGCTGCCCAGGGAATAGGGAAGGGAGACCTGTGGGACCCAGAGAGGGTGTCCCCTGGCTTGGGGAAGACACCCTGACCCCCACAGGCCAGCCCGGACCCCAGGGTCCTTCCCAGACACCCCAACACCCGTACCTTCTGGTTTCCTCCTCCTTCTGTCCCCACAGGGTTCAGACTTCCAGGATAAGGACAGGAGACCAGGCCCTTCCCTCCCCCCAGGAGTCCTGGCTGGACTGAAGAGTCACAACCTTGCGGCCAGAATAGCATGTCCGGCTGGAGTCGTGTTCCCCTCTGACCAGCTGTCCCTGGGAGAAGGGACAGAGTGGGGGTGGGGCTCCCATACCACAGTGGAGGGTGAGGTCAGCCACCTTGTCTTGCCCTCGTGACTGCCCCGCTGAGGAAGGAGCTGTCCTCCCCTAGGCGGCGACTGGGCCCTCTCTCCTGGCCAGCAGCTAGCCACAGTGCAGCTCCTGCGTGTCCCCGCCATTCCCCCAGAACTGCTCCTCCAAGCCCAGGGGTCACCCCTCAGTGACCAAACCTGGGGCACTTTCCAGTCCTCGTCTTCTTGCCCTGCTCTTAAACGCCACAACCTGGGAGAGCCCTCTTCCTTCTGGAAGCTTCTCTTTGCCCCTGAGACGCCCCAGCTTCTGGCTCTCCTCCTGCCTCACTGGCAGCACCGGCTCACCTTTCTGTGCACACCCCTCTCCTCTCCTCTACCAGTAGAAAATAGCATTCCCCGTGGCTTAGGTCTGGGCACTTTCCTCTTGCTCTTCCATTTTTATTGCATAATAATTGACACATACTAAACAGTGTCTGCATCATAGACGTGAGTTAAAAATGATAACAGTAAACGAGGCCCTTAACCCCCCACCCAGTTTGAGAATCAGCACATTACTGGTGATTGCCTTAGGCTCATCCCCCAGCCCACCCGGCTTCACATTTTTAATAGTTAAATTTTTTTAAATTTTTTGTTTCATTTTCATTTTTATTTTTAAGTAGCCCTCGCGTCCACTCAGAGCCCAGTGTGGAGCTTGAACTCACGACCCCTTGAGATCAAGACCTGAGCTGAGATCAAGAGCTGGATGCTTGGTATAAAAAGAATCATCCACCAAGATCAAGTGGGATTCATTCCTGGGTTACAGGGCTGGTTCAACATTCGCAAATCAATAATGTGATACATCATATCAATAAAAGAAAAGATAAAAACCATATGATCCTGTCAATAGATGCAGAAAAAGCATTTGACAAAATACAGCATCCCTTCTTAATAAAGACTCTCGAGAAAGTTGGGATAGAAGGAACCTACTGAAACATCATAAAAGCCATCTATGAGAAGCCTTCAACTAACATCATCCTCAATGGGGAAAAACTGAGAGCTTCCCCCCCTGAGATCAGGAACACGACAGGGATGTCCACTCTCACCACTGTTGTTTAACATAGTGCTGGAAGTCCTAGCATCAGCCATCAGACAACAAAAGGAAATCAAAGGCATCAGAATTGGCAAAGAGGAAGTCAAACTTTCACTCTTTGCAGATGACATGATACTCTACATAGAAAACCCGACAGACTCCACCAGAAGCCTACTAGAACTGATCCAAGAATTCAGCCAAGTTGCAGGGTGCAAAATCAACGTACAGAAATCGGTTGCATTTTTATACACCAACAATGAAGCAACAGAAAGAGAAATCAAGAAACTGATCCCATTCACAATTGCACAAAAAACCATAAAATACCTCGGAATAAACCTAACCAAGGATACAAGAGATCTGTATGATGAAAACTATAGAAAACTTATGAAGGAAATTGAAGAAGACACAAAGAAATGGAAAAACATTCCATGCTCATGGATAGGAAGAATAAATATAGTTAAGATGTCATTACTACCTAAAGCACTCTACACATTCAATGCAATTCCAATCAAAATTGCACCAGCATACTTCTCAAAACTAGAACAAACTATCCAAAAATTTGTATGGAACCACAAAAGACCCCGAATAGCCAAAGTAATACTGAAAAATAAAACCAAAACGGGAGGTATCACCATCCCAGACTTCAGCCTCTACTACAAAGCTGTCATCCTCAAGACAGTATGGTATTGGCACAAAAACAGACACATAGACCAATGGAACAGAATTGAGAACTCAGAAGTGGACCCAAAAGTATACAGCCAACTGATCTTTGACAAAGCAGGAAAGAATATCCAATGGAAAAAAGACAGCCTTTTTAACAGATGGTGTTGGGAGAACTGGACAGCAACATGCAGAAGAATGAAACTAGATCATTTTCTCACACCATGCACAAAAATCAACTCAAAATGGATAAAGGACCTGAACGTGAGACAGGAAACTATCAACACCCTAGAGGAGAAAGCAGGAAACAACCTCCTTGACCTCCACCGCAGCAACTTCTTACTTGACACATCCCCAAAAGCAAGGGAATCAAGAGCAAAAATAAACTGTTGGGACCTCATCAAGATTAAAAGCTTCTGCACAGCCAAGGAAACAACCCAGAAAATTAATAGGCAACCAACGGAATGGGAAAAGATAGTTGCAAATGACATATCAGATAAAGGGTTAATATCCAGAATCTATAAGGAACTCACCAAACTACACGCCCGAAAAACAAACAACCCAGTGAAGAAATGGGCAGAAGACATGAACAGACACTTCTCCAAAGAGGACATCCAGATGGCCAACAGACACATGAAACGATGCTCAGCATCCCTCCTCATCAGGGAAATACAAATCAAAACCACACTGAGATACCACCTCACGCCAGTCAGAGTGGCTAAAATGAGCAAATCAGAGAACTCTAGATGCTGGCGAGGATGTGGAGAAACGGGCACCCTCCTACACTGTTGGTGGGAATGTAAACTGGTACAGCCCCTCTGGAAAACAGTGTGGAGGTTCCTCAGGAAACTAACAATAGAACTCCCTTATGACCCAGCAATAGCACTGCTAGGAATTTACCCAAGGGATACAGAAATGCTGAGGCATAGGAGCACATGTACCCCAATGTTCATAGCAGCACTCTCCACAATAGCTAAAACATGGAAAGAGCCTAAGTGTCCATCAACAGATGAATGGATCAAGAAGATGTGGTTTATCTATACCATGGAATACTACATGGCAATGAGAAACAATGAAATCTGGCCATGTGTAGCAACATGGATGGACTTTGAGGGTGTTATGCTGAGCGAAATAAGTCAGGCAGAGAAGAACAAATATCATATGTTTGCACGTATAGGAGGATTAGGAGGAACTTAACGGAGGAACAAGGGGGAGAAGAAGGGAGAAATGGTGGGGGAAAGGGAGAGAGGCAAACCATGAGAGACTCTTGAATGCTGACAAAAACTGAGGACTGATGGATGTGGCTGGGAGGAGGGATGGGCATGGAGGAAGGCACTTGTGGGGATGAGCACTGAGTGTTATGTGGAAACGAATTTGACAATAAACTATTTGTAAAAAATAAAAATAAAAATAAAAAATAAAAAATAAAATAAATCAATTCAGCCAAAAAAAAAAAAAAAGAGTTGGATGCTTGGGGTGCTTGGGTGGCTCAGTTTGTTAAGCATCTGACTTGCCTCAGGTCATGATCTCACGGTTCGTGAGTTCGAGTCCCACATCGGGTTCATGAGTTTGAACCCCGCGTCAGGCTCTGTGCTGACAGCTCAGAGCCTGGAGCCTGATTGGCATTCTGTGTCTCCTCTCCCCAACTCACACCGTGTCTCTCTCTCTCTCTCTCTCTCTCAAAAATAAATAAACATTTAAAAAAATTAAAAGAAAATTACACGAGTTGGACGCTTGATCGACTGAGCTGCCCAGGCACCCCTTTAATAGTTTTCTTTTAGTAGTTTTTTTTAAATCACATTGCTATACATCCCTAAACAATATATTTTTTTAGTTTTACTTGCCTTTGAGCTCTTGAACCATACCATGTGTCACCTGCGACTTGCTTTTCTCGCTCGACGTGAGTTCTGAGATTCAGCAATAAGGGTAGCTACATGTAACTTGTTTTTGCTACTGTGCTACCTTCCATTGTCAGAATACACCACACTTTGCCTATCCATCTTACCTGCCCATGGACAGCAGGTTGTTTCTGGTTTTCTGCTCTGATGAATGAGGCTGTCCTTAAAGTCCCAGGGTATATTCCTTGGGTAACTCCTGGGTAAACCAGCGTCCCACTGATTGCCCAGCCACTCCCTGGCTTGCTATAACCAACAATTGATATCTTTACTGACTTTTCCAAAATGTCCACATGGGGTCACTTTCCTAGTACTTAGGTCACTCTCTGGGTGTTTAGGAATTTTTCTTAATTGTGGCAAAATACACATAAAAGTTACCATCTTAATCTTTTTTTTTAAAGCAGGTTCCATGCCCAATGCGGGGTGAAAGATCATGACCCAGACGCTCCACTGACTGAGCCGCCCGGGTGTCCCCCATCTTAACCATTTTTAAGTGTACAGTTTTGTAGCATCAACAATACTCAACATTACGCAGCCATACCACCACGTGTTTAGGTACTTTTGAAAAATAATTGCTCTTGTAAAGTTCTTTCATATCTTTTTTTTTTTCCAGTTTCATTGAGAAATAGTTGGCGTACCTCACTGTGTGGCTTAGCAGGTATAGTATGTGGTTTGACACATTTATTGTGAAATGATCATAGTAGAGTTCAGGTAAGGTCCACCTTCTCATATAAATACAATAAAAAGAAAAGCAGGAAGAAAAGAAAAAAGAAAAACTTTTCTCCTTGTGGTGAGACCACTTAGGATCTAGTCTCTTAAGAACCTTCCTGTCTGTCACACCGTGGCATTGACTATGGTCAATGATGACTGTCCATCTACCCATCCATCCACTCACCCGTCCATCCATCCATCATACATCTGTCCACCCATCCACCCACCCATTGAGACATCCACCCACTCACCCATCTCTGGGTATTTCAGAGCTTCCTTGGTCTGTTTGTTTATCCCTGTGCAAAACCCACACTATCTTAATTATATACACCATGACTTCTTTGAAAATCCCTTCCTTTGCTTTTCTTTAGTTTTACCACTTAAGCATGTATCCCCCAAAACCCTAGTTTAGTTTTGATTGTTTCTGAACTTCATACAAATAGAATAACACACTTTGAATTCTTTTGTATTTGGATTTTTTTCATTTAACGTATGTTTGTGAATTATTCACCTTATTGTGAATAGCTGTAATTTGTTCAT